TATCCTCCATCTGTGTTTTCAAAGGCTGAGTTTCGAGGAGTTTTACATGGAGATAATTCCTGATCAAGATGCAAATGAAGGATCATGACCTCCTTTCACACAGGCATGACCTTACAAGGTGTCTGTCCAGGTCGCCCTGCAATAGAGGTCATCAGAATCTTGGCTAGGACACTGGTTCACAAGGGTACCTCATCACAACTCAATGGCCACCCCTCTGCGTGCTGAGTTCAGTTGCACAATGCATCTAGTCATGCGTACACATGGCTCAATAGCTTCCCAAATCTCTAATTGAATAAGTTTCCGTGCGAATGACAGTTTTCAAGGGGAGTATTTACTTTCAAGATTGTCCACATGTTTCCAAAGCTCTTCCTCTATCTAACTGATTTTTACGCTTTCTGGTTTTGATGTTCCTATAAGAGGATTATGACGACTTTGGTCAATATTTCAATGGGCAGGTGATAATTCTGACAGGTGCTCCTTGAACATGATCAGCCAAAGAAATACCAACCATTCTATTCCCGATGAAAGCCTTGGCCTCTCAATCTGGCATCCTTTCATGTACAGACTCATACCCTTCAAATCTTTGACCCTGTTCCACCAGGAAAAGGGTGTGATTTGTTGGCCTGTCTTTTGGAAATCTTAATTCCCATTCATTGAAAAAAGCTCACTGATACAAAAGATGTGTCTGCGTATAGGGATATGTACTTATTGCTAATGGGCTGGGTGTCACCTAGAAGGGGTTTCACAAACAGTGTTCCAAACAACAGCGTGCTGGGGTAGCCTAGTGGTTCAAGCATTTGTTTGTCACGCCGAAGACCCGGGTTTGATTCCCCACATGGGTACAATGTGTGAAGCCCACTGCCAGTGTCCCCTGCTGGAAAATTGCTAAGAGCGGCATAAAACCACACTCACTCACTCACTCACTCACTCACTCTTATGGTTATGTTAATGGTTTTGCCGGTTTTATTTAGACCAGTAATATTTTTTTCTTTACCCACCCCGATCACTAGCCCCTAACAATATACCAGATTTTCTTGTGACACAGTAAAAATCATAAACTTGACCAACACTGGCGACCAAGAATATGAACACGCTACATGTACAGCATGATCCACAACATTAGAAATTAAAGACGGGTTAATCGATCTCAGTGAACAGGAGGGAGGCCTACTCTCTAAATAACAACTGATTAATACCCAGCCCACTCACACAGAAATGAGATTCACAGATTTCAAAGATGGGCCAAAAGTGTTCTTCTTTTTGCCACAGTTAAATTCCAAAGGGAGTACCTGAACACCCTATGAGTGCCCAGTGCTACACTTGAAAACAAATCCATTCTTTCCCCGACTTTTTAAAAAAATATCTTAACCACATATGGTTCATCTATGAGATAACATTAAGATTTTCACATACTAGTGTGCTCTTGTTTAAGCCAGTTTTTAAATATGTTTATCACATAATAGACAGTTTTACCGATGCAAGAAACCAATCCGATAAATATGCAAATGAAGTGACCTGCAGGAACTACTGTTATTCTCCATACAACGTGTGCGACATACGCTTGCAGTCCGAAAGCGCACGTTAAATCTCCAATATAAGTAAGTAAGTACCGCACATTGAACTACTGACGAAGGTCCCCAATAACTTCATACAGGGTTTTCCAAGGTGTGGGCAATTCTGTACACAAACATGGCTGCAAATCATTTGGCACTATATGATACATGGGATGGTTCACTCCAATACTGTATTCATACGCTGTTTATGAAGTTACGAACAGGAGAAATTAATACTAGATATTAATAAGTGTAAGAATGATAACATATTATAAAGAGAGTATTACCCTGTGTGTTTCCATCTTGAAAATATCAAATTAGGGACAAAAGATATGTATTATGCTTATCAAAGGCTGTAATAAGACAATTGATATTCCTAACACATGATTGTTACTGTATCAAACACACTCAGCTAATAACCTCTATTTGCGCATTTAGGTCAATTCTAAACATGCAGCATTATTTCTCTGAAAGCATATCACACGGCATGGCCTCTCATAATATTGGAAGTAATTACTCTTTGTTTCATATGTACCGTTCCACTTTAGATAGGGATATTTCTCATCTTTCCATGAAACACAAGAATGATTCTCATAATATGTCAAGAGTATATTTAAATATACTACTCAAAAGAAGTTAAGGATCACCTGATTCTTTCATATTACAATAGTTAATCTCTCATGCCATGACAGATTAACATTACCAATATGAAAGAATCGGGTGATCCTTAACTTCTTTGGAGTAGTATATATACCTGACAGATCTTCTTATCCCTATCAAAGGTTGAGTAGCATAGTATGCTGTGTCATTGAAATTCTGACTGTTAGTCTTTGACTGCATCCCTTTATATACTACTCAAAAGATGTTAAGGATCGCCAGATTCTTTCATACTGCTATAGTTAATCTGGTGGTCCTTAACATCTTTTGAGTAGTATAGACAACGTATTGAAATAAAATATGGCGTTAAAGGTCTCAGTACACAGTGTATGTCCGCAGTGAACACTAAATCATTAATGTGAGATAGAACTGAAGTGTTTACGCCTCACATATAGAGTGGATGATAATCTAGCTCAAGGCAAACTGAACCAAATTTGACACTAGTAACCATAGCTTGTTTGTTTGTTTGTTTGTTTGTTTGTTTGTTTGTTTTATGCCACACTCAGCAATATTCCAGCTATATGACGTCGGTCTGTAAATAATCAAATCTGGACCAAACAATCCAGTGATTGACATCATGAGCATCGATCAAAGCAATTGGGATCGATGACTTGCATCAACCAAGTCAGCGTAGTAACCATAGTGATGATAGTCATTAAATAACAACAAATTACTCAAATGACAGAGCAAGTTTGTGGAGTCAGTTTTACTGAATGGAAAAAGCAAACCAATGCTTTCCAGGATCCATGATAGGAGCACCAGGCTACTGTCAGCACAATCCAAGGATGAACAGCTACTACTTAAGTGGTTAAAATGATCAAGCCACTTGCATAAAATCTAATCTCTAAAGTCTCACTAGAAACAACAAATCTGGCCATGTTTTTCAGTTACCCCGTTGAACAAGCATGTAACATAATTCCTTGTGGCTGATTAACAAAATATGATAACAATTTGAAAGTGCAGGGAGGTCAGATGTTAAAAGCCTTTACATGGTTATGAAGCCCTGATTCGGCAAATTTTTTTCTGCATGGTTTTGATCAAATGATGCGAGTTCAGATTGCTCATGACATGCTTGCTGACTTAAGTTGAATTTTACTTGCATCAAAAATGTGTATTGATATGAATATATAGAAGACACTGACTCAGGACTATCACATACATCAACTCAGTATTACTACTTAGTAATTCATATCCAGTTCATAATTCAAGATTTGTTAATGTACAGTTTGTGCTTTATCAACTTATTTTTCATGTAATTTCTTTGCTATTTCCTTGCACTTAAAGAATTCGGATTTCTATATGCATGAAGTCGAAAGAAAGAGATTTGACCTATACACATGGTCGCTGTTGCTGTGTGAACACTTGCTGTTATTGTATAATTTCCTCCTGTTGATTGCTAATGAATCAGATTGAAGAAATCACATCTGATTTTGATCTGAAATAATTCACTCCCTCGATTTTGAAATTCAAAGATTACAGTAATTTAAATTCAAGAAAGTACATGGGGACTGTTAGCAATATCACGGCAGGGGACACCAGAAATGGGCTTCACACATTTTACCCATGTGGGATTTGAACCCGGATCTTCAGCGTCACGAGCAAACGCTTTAACCACTAGGCTTTAACACCGCCCCCAGACAAATAATGAAGACTGACCAGTATCTTGTTTGTCATTGAGGCACTGTCTCCGTATCCTAAAGAAATCAAACTGCTATATTCATACACCTCATACAACTTGTGTTTGCTGACTAAAAAAGAGTGTTTTAAGGACATGAATTAAACTTGTGCCCAAGCAGTTCCCCTGCAAAGTCTTACTAACAACTTTCCGAGTTCGACAGCAAGATCATTAAACAGTCACACCCTACAGTTTCCATCTTCATTTCTCATCTTGGTATCTTGTGAAACAAAGTTGCCGTAAGGAAGATATCTTGTGAAACAAAGTTGCCGTAAGGAAGATATCTTGTGAAGCAAAGTTGCCGTAAGGAAGATATCTTGTGAAACAAAGTTGCCATAAGGAAGATATCTTGTGAAACAAAGTTGCCATAAGGAAGATATCTTGTAAAACAAAGTCGCCATAAGGAAGATATCTTGTGAAACAAAGTTGCCGTAAGGAAGATATCTTGTGAAACAAAGTTGCCATAAGGAAGATATCTTGTGAAACAAAGTTGCCATAAGGAAGATATCTTGTAAAACAAAGTTGCCATAAGGAAGATATCTTGTAAAACAAAGTTGCCATAAGGAAGATATCTTGTAAAACAAAGTTGCCATAAGGAAGATATCTTGTAAAACAAAATTGCCATAAGGAAGATATCTTGTAAAACAAAGTTGCCATAAGGAAGATATCTTGTAAAACAAAGTTGCCATAAGGAAGATATCTTGTAAAACAAAGTTGCCATAAGGAAGATATCTTGTAAAACAAAGTTGCCATAAGGAAGATATCTTGTGAAACAAAGTCGCCATAAGAAGATATCTTGTAAAACAAAGTTGCCATAAGGAAGATATCTTGTGAAACAAAGTCGCCATAAGAAGATATCTTGTAAAACAAAGTTGCCATAAGGAAGATATCTTGTAAAACAAAGTTGCCATAAGGAAGATATCTTGTAAAACAAAGTTGCCATAAGGAAGATATCTTGTGAAACAAAGTCGCCATAAGAAGATATCTTGTAAAACAAAGTTGCCATAAGGAAGATATCTTGTGAAACAAAGTCGCCATAAGAAGATATCTTGTAAAACAAAGTTGCCATAAGGAAGATATCTTGTGAAACAAAGTTGCCTCAGGAAGATACTTACGACAGTTGACTTCATCCGATCCATCAGGGCAGTCGATCTGACCATCACACTTGTAGGAGCCGATGACGCACTCTCCATCGTTACAGGTGAACTGGTCTGCAGCGCAGGTGCCACGGGATGTGTCTGGAGACAGTAAACAGTGCAATATAGTTTCACAAATAATCATATTTCTTACCATTTTGGCCCCGTTCCACAAAGCGATCATAGCTATGATTGTGCTGAAAGTCTATGTTAAAGTATGGGCGGTACAATCATCTGAATGTTACAATTGTTCAGAGCCTATGTTTAAGGGCAAATAAAGTGAAACAGTCAATGCGATTTTGTTGCAAATATCCCTTTTTCTAGATACATTTAGTCAATTTCTGAGAGAGAAAAATTCATATTTGTAAAGAATATTTAAATGTCCAAGTGAAAGTGCTGAAACACAGGCTCTATAGTCAGCTTCCAAAACAAACCAATTTGGGGGCGTGACCTCAAGCTACCGGCGCAGCAGTGACAACTGTTGGCTGATATAGTTGCTGCGTTTATCTGTTTTGTGATTCTTTGTCTTTTTACATATACTGTTTCTGACATGTTTGTTAATCCTACAAAAATAACAACAACTGAATGTGTGAATCGACCTTTGACTGGTAACTAGTGCTTTATTACTACCATCCTGTTTGGGTAATAAAACACCAGCTGCCCTTGGTCCTACTCCATACAACAAATGCTTGTCAGGGATTAATCCCCTACATAACAGTCTCTTCAGTTTTGTTACTATGGTGACATAAGTTGTGGATGCAGAAATCAAATGGATGCGGAGACAGAAACAAGACATCGTCTATTAAAACATTCGTGATCGTTGAAACCCCTCAGTGGCGGAATTTTTCGTTTGGGGGATGATTTTGCCTGTCGTCTTTTTTTGTCTGTTTTACACTATTTTTGTTTTTCAAATGTAATTTTAGTCCAGCATTTGGGATAAAGTATGCCCTAAAGAACTACAGTCTGCAAAGTTACAATGCTGACTTTACTCGCCTTTTAAAGTATGGGAGTTGCAATGATCTTAGCGCGCGATGACCTTGTGTGGAACAAGGTCATGTCTCTTCTCCAGGGAGAAGGGATTTCTGAAGGGTTGCCGTCATTTGATCAGAAGGAAAATTAAGAGGGGGAGGGGGGGAAGGAAAAATAAACTCAATGGTTAGCTTAACTTATTAGAAATCAAAGTATAGTTATTGCACTACTTTTAGCGTAATATCAGCAAAATCTCAGAATTTGACACCAGAATTGGAAGAAATCGGAGGAATTTCATAACAATTTGTTTGCTTTTTAGAAAGAGTCAAAATGTGAATATTCTGCAGACAAAGGATGCCCAAGCATTGCGATGTGGTGGAGATGATGTCACAGGGGCGTGCCTGTCACCACTACACATAAAGCTGCGTAGATGTCACTGAATAAACTAACACTGTGTTCCTTGTTGCTCGTCAGGTTCTCTGTGTGATATGTAATGCTTTGCTTTGAATTTTCTAGGGTCCACAACACTTAATAAGGAAATGCAAGCCTGGATGGGTTTGTGAAAAAGTGCTTTCAAAGAAATACCAAAGATTGCAATGCTGTAGTCATCAGCAGAAATGGTGTGGCTTTGACACCACGGACAATCAAACTGCAGGATTGTATCATGTCATGCTAGACTGACAAACAACCGACAGTTTGGGAGGGTCATCATTGATATCTTCCCCTGTGATGACTGACCATGCACTGTGTAGGTAACCGGGACTCAAACCTGGACCTTGAGTGTTATAAGCAAGTGCACAAACCACTGGCCTACTATCTGCCTACAATGTTTCACCACAACAGATTCACATCAGTGCCTATTCACGACATGAAGATTCCGGGGTAGAATAGGTCTTCAGCCACCCATGCTTGCCGTAAAAGGCGACTATGCTTGTCGTTAAAGGCAACTAACGGGATCGGGTGGTCAGGCTCGCTGACTTGGTTGATACATGTCATCGATCCCAATTGCGTGGATCGATGCTCATGATATCAATCACTGGATTGTCTGGTCCAGACTGGATTATTTACAGACCGCCGTCATATAGCTGGAATATTGCTGAGTGCGGCGTTAAACAACAAACCAACCAACCAAAGCCTATTCACGTGCCTCCACATTCCTTATATTTAAGATTGATCGAAGCAGCAGTAAAAGGTCCTTCGTCTCTCTCCACAGAACCAGGAATTACAGAAGAATACATTGCCATGGTTATAGGAAGCCTGGCTGTATGACACCAAAATGGCATATCAGCTACATATTACACAGATATATAAGTTCACTTTCAATAATATTATTTTCAAAATAAGAGCTCCGAAGTACGGCATGCCCAAAACATCTTACACTGACACTTGCAACAGAAATGCATATTTTTATTTTACCAAGAACACATCAAGGTCAGATGGTTCATGGTGAGACTCATTCCTACGTTCCCCTGTTAGATCCTCTTTCTACTTTGTCTAAAGTCCTGCTCTTGAAACCAAATATCTGCTGTCATATCATTACTGAGAAAAACAACACATATTAAAAACGTTCAAAACATGTGAGTTAGTAGCCATTATTCCAGCAATATCACAGTGGGGACGCCATAAATGGGGGGATCAATCCTGGGGCCTCAGCGTTAGTTGCCTCACAAAGTACCTGGTCACGATTTTAATTTTGAATAATTTTTCCAAAACACATCTCTTAACAGGATGCATGCTAAATGTCAACACATTTTAGATAAACATGTCTTTGTTTGTTTGGTTGGTTGTTGTTTAATGCTGCACGTAGCAATATTCCAGTATATGACAGATGTCTGTAAATAATGGAGTCTGGACCAGACACCATGTGATTGACAACATGAGCATTGATCCACGCAATAGGGATAGGACATGCATCAACCAAGTCAGCGAGCCTGACAACCCGATCCTGTTAGTCGCCTTTTACGGCAAGCATGGGTTGCTGAAGACTTATTCTCTACCCGGTTCTTCACAGGTGAGATCTCGTACATACTGATCCTAAAAGTTAAGCAGTACCCATATTTTCAAACAATGGAAGAATTAAAATTAAATTAAAAATAAAAATTAAAATTAAAATTAAAATTGTGAGTTCCTAAGAGTTTATGTGTTGAAAGTTAAATAAATTGTCTGGCTACTTCTTTCAGAGAAAATAATTATGTTTTGAAGTACTGACTGATATTATTTAAAATGGTTGGAACCTTAACACATAAGAGGGGCGGTCGGGTAGCCTAGTGGTTAAAGCGTTCGCTCGTCACGCCGAAGACCCGGGTTCGATTCCCGACATGGGTACAATGTGTGAAGCCCATTTCTGGTGTCCCCCGCCGTGATATTGCTGGAATATTGCTAAAAGCGGCGTAAAACCATACTCACTCACTCACTTAACACATAAGTAATTAAGTAAAGTCTAGCCTGTCCCACAGTCCCTGAACCATCTTATTTTCCCTTCCGCCCAGCCCTTCCAGTAATACTACAGCCCTAAACCAATCTCCCATATCACTGTGACTCCTTTTCAGTTTGAATGTAGTTAATTGTGTTTTATCAAAATTATATATTTTAGAGACTTATTGTTCATCTACAGTAAAACCCTACTTCTACTATTTCCCCATCTCTTGATATCTGATGTTATGTAAAGGTTGAACAAATCAGGACATTTGTAAAATGGTTCTAAAATACTGGTGTCAATGACACCTCATTATTTGAGTGAGTGAGTGAGTGAGTATGGTTTTACGTCGCTTCTAGCAATATTCCAGCAATATCACAGATTGGGACACCAGAAATGGGCTTCACTTTGTACCCATATGGGAAACTGAACCTGGGTCTTCGACGTGACAAGCAAATGCATTAACCACAAGGCTACCCCAGCGCCCTCCTCATCATTTGTAGGTCATTACAGGAGTTTTAAGACAGATATACAGTCTAACACAAATACTCATCATTTCTGATGCTAGAAGTCATCTCAACACTTCTATTGTCTGTCCAGTTTAATCTTTCCCTGCTATTGTTCTCTTGGCAAACAATGAATTTGTTTTTCTCCATATAGACAATCACCTGAGAATCGTATTGAATAATTACATCGTATAACCCATGTGCCTAATTAAATAAATACATTGTATTGTCCATGAGCCACATTGAATAAATACATTGTAATCTCTACGTGAGACTGCATCGTTAATTGTACTCATTGCCCTTTGACCTTTAGGTCAAGGGAGGCAAGGGTGACACATAAAATGCAGTGTCACGATTGGATTGTAAATTGACCAATCAGTGTCAACATGGTTGAGTTCGTATAATGGAGGCAGGAGCAACAACTACCAGCTCTACACGGAGGGGGCCAAGTGTTGGGGCTGCAAACACAGACGTTTTAACTGAGGAGCGAGGTAGCCTAGTGGTTAAAGCGTTTGCTCATCAGAAGTTCAATTCCCCACAAGGGTTCAGGGTGTGAGGTCGGGCATTCTTGGTACCCCCAACTGTGATATAGATAGAATATTGCTAAAAGGTGATGGTATATCATACTCAATCGCAAATGGTGACTTTACATTTAATGCTGACAATATCAGTTCTGCTGTAAGGCATAAAAACATATTGCTTCTTCTCTCACTGTTGGGACAGAAAAAGGCCAAATTACTAATTTAATTTTTGTGATGACCTCAAGGAGTGTTCATATTTGTAACATTTTGTCAGTACAAGTAACTTGAAAAAAATTACTAATTTTGAAACAAACAAATTTAATTTCTGGTTTAGATTGGTATTAAGTGGGAATAGTTGGGGATTGACTGCAGGAATACCACACTCCTAACAAGCAGAGGGTTGATATATGACTCAAATTCTTTTGATAATCTTAAGTTACATCTAGTCACACAACTCACTGACTTAATGGAGATTAAGTACAAGAGTACACACATTAAGGGATTGCACACGTTGTCATGTCAGACTGTTTTTTGTCAAAAAAATGATGGGGCTTGATACATCTTACACACAGTGTCAGGATATTGTTTTACAGTTCATTTCCATATTATTACCATGATGTCCTCAGTAAGCAAAGAGTCCAAAGTCCAAGCCAAGTGAACTTTCTCTGTCCAGTAAGCTCAACTCATAATTGCCAAAATATTTAGTACCAATAGACAAGTGTAAGCATCTGTACTAGAACGTTTTCGGGACATACTGCTTCATCATATATACATGTACACATGTTTAGTGATACACCAAATATAGCCGTCTATAAAGTGACCCTCCTGTCAATAAAGCGACCCCCATGTAAAAGCCTTCAAAATCGATGCTAATTTCCATACACCGTCTTTAAAGCGACCCCCGCCTATAAGGTGACGAACCCCCTGTAAAAGCCTTCAAAATCGATGCTAATTTACATACACCTTCTTAAAAGCAACCCTGCCTATAAGGCGATGAACCCCCTGTAAAAGTCTTCAAAATCGATGCTAATTTCCATACACCGTCTTTAAAGCGAACCCCGCCTATAAGGTGACGAACCCCCTGTAAAAGCCTTCAAAATTGATGCTAATTTACATACACCTTCTTAAAAGCAACCCCGCCTATAAGGTGACGAACCCCCTGTAAAAGTCTTCAAAATAGATGCTAGTTTACATACACCTTCTAAAAGCAACCCCGCCTAGAAGGCGACGAACTAAGTCGGAAACAGCTATCAGCTGTGCACACGTTTTTCTCCCAATCTAACAGTGATTCAATTAAAAATTCCCAATAACATAACTTCAAAGAATTTTGATGCAATAATCGGAAGAATTGTTTCTGAAACTATTCTCTTATCAACAATCGGAAGAATTGTTTCTGAAACTATTCTCAAGTCAGGAATAATATATTCCAATATCATGTAAGTTTAGTTACAGTTTTACTATAAATATTTAAAATAATAATACCCATAAGCATAGAACCAGCTGATCGCTATTGCTGGACACCTAGCAATTCATCAGCAAGCAGTAGACAGACACACTTACCTGTTGGGGAGACGCCAGCGTAATCCATTAAGGCACGGATAGCAAAGGTAGCGTCAGTCTTGGAGTAGGGCACACTCTCGATATTGAAGGGTATTCCTTCCTGTATCATGTCGTCATACAGCTGCACATAGTAGTCTTGGAACATTTCATTCAATGAGATAATATCATCCTCCAGTGTAGCACTGGCTATCACATTATTTGGTGTTCCTCGTGGGTAGAAAATACCAATAAAATCACCACGTTGTACATTGATTGGGCTTTGAAGCTGCACAATTCTAATTCCAGTTGGTGCGGGAGGAAGTTCTGTTTTTCCGACGAGAGTGAATTCCGTATCGGTGACTTGCTTCCATACACCAACGTACGCGACTCCGGTTGGAATGAGACGGTAATATTCCCAGCCAACGACGTTTCCGTTACAGGGGAAGATGTTGTTGACGAGGAGGTTGGCCCAGTTGGTTCCGTTTCTTGGCAGTGATTCTGGTTCACGTCCGACAAAGCTTGGGCAGGAAACTGGCTCTGAGAACAGATATTTTCAACCATAAGTCAATTTTACCATTTCTACATCACATGTCAAAGGAACCAGGGGTCTGTTCCACGAAGCCTTCGTAGCGCTAAGGTGATTGTAACTCCATAGTTTAACATACGAACCAGGGATCCGTTCCACAAAGCGTTCGTAGCGCTAAGGTGAGCGTAACCCCATAGTTTAACATACGAACCAGGGGTCTGTTCCACAAAGTGTTCGTAGCGCTAAGGTGATCGTAACTCCATAGTTTAACATACAAACCAGGGATCCGTTCCACAAAGCGTTCGTAGCGCTAAGGTGAGCGTAACCCCATAGTTTAACATACAAACTAGGGATCCGTTCCACAAAGCGTTCGTAGCGCTAAGGTGATCGTAGCCCCATAGTTTAACATACAAACTAGGGATCCGTTCCACAAAGCGTTCGTAGTGCTAAGGTGATCGTAGCCCCATAGCTTAACATACAAACTAGGGATCCGTTCCACAAAGCCTTCGTAGTGCTAAGGTGATCGTAACCCCATAGCTTAACATACAAACTAGGGATCCGTTCCACAAAGCGTTCGTAGTGCTAAGGTGATCGTAACCCCATAGCGCTTATCCCAGGATAAGTGAATGTCATTCTACATAACGACATCTTGTGATCTTGGGATCTATTAATTGTGCCCTAGAATACTAATGGGCAGATGATGGACAAAACATCAGTGATAATGTCTGTCTAATATTCATTATTTTCTAAAGACAGAAAGAAATTTGACACCTTGAAAGCCATTGCTTTATATTCATTATTATCTTGCAGCTTTTTCACACAAATTTCTGTCTTTGACTTTGTTTGTTTGTTTGTTTGTTTGTTGTTTAAAACATAAACCGATCTGGTCATGCATGCACTGAAGCTGATTGAAGTTTTATCGTAATGCAAACATATAAAGTCAGAAAGAAATGTGAATATTAGTGACATATAGTGAGTGAGTGAGGATGGTTTTACGCCGCTTTTAGCAATATTCCAGCAATATCACGGCAGGGGACACCAGAAATGGGCTTCACACATTGTACCCATGTTGGGAATCAAACCCGGGTCTTCGGCGTGACAAGCGAACGCTTTAACCACTAGGCCACCCAACCCCACTAGTGACTTACAGTGTAACCATAGGGTTCTAGATATTTTTTGCCATTAAACAAAATATAATCACGTGACTAACCACAGGTCCGGATAGTCCTGTAGGTAGCCGGGTCCTACACAGTACCCACCCGACCCAAGTACCCGAGTTACCCGTCCCCGGCCTAGACGATAAGTTTGGTCGTTAATTAGATCGAGGGCCCATCTGCCATGAAGGGCAACATTCACCTATGCAGTATTTTGTACTGGGAGGAATTCTGTGACTTTGCCATGCACCAACACAAGTATCAAGTTGCCCCAGCTTAGTCTTCCGTACAGACCTGGCCCAGAATAGAATGGCTTAGAAAACACGCAGGAATTCACTAAAAAGAACCTGGCAGCAAGGTCGATATTGAAAAATACTTTATGTTCACGGATGTAAGAGAGTTATACCTCACCACTGTGTTCTGACGTTAATTAATATGACATACCAAATGTTCAAGGACATAACAGAGGTATACTCCACCATGTATGTTCAAGGACAAAAGCATCACTCCATCACTGAATATGAATTTATCATCCCAAACTGGCTCCCGCAGGAGATATGGCTTGGGTGAGATCAAGCGATATCTACAATGTAGATATCGCTGCAATGAAATTGCATCACAATGCTTTGCAGACCATTGTGATGTCATTGATTACCATGATGTTACAATCAAATGACATCACTAATTGCTCTGCTACTGAAGCTGTTAGCAGTTCTTTTTACACTTAAGACACTGCTTATTACTGTCTACAAACTGAAAAAGTTGGAAGAAGGATGTTGGATGATAAATAAAATCTCACCCGAGTCTCTTTTGATATCAAATATCTCAACACTTGTTTATAAACTTGTGGGTTGGAATCCCGTGATATCAAAAGACACTCAGGTGAGATTCTCTATATATCAACAAGATTTGACTCACCTTCAAATTGTCTAAAATCAAATCCTTCAGGGCTAACCCTATATGGCCCAATATAACCACTTTTGATGGCATCTTCAATAATTTTTCTCAAAGCATCTGGATTATCAAATCCCTGAGATCCGAGATCAAATGAAACCATGAGAGATCCTTTGCTGAAACACACAAAGAAGGAAAGGGTTAGAACATTGTGTCACAAAAACTATAATGAGACTTGATGAAGGGGAATACTATGTTATTGCACCAGGCACTTGACAACATTGTTTGTTTGTTTGTTGTTTAACGCCGCACTCTGCAATATTCCAGCTATATGACGGTGGTCTGTAAATAATCGAGTCTGGACCAGACAATCCAGTGATTAACATCATGAGCATCGATCCAGGCATTTGGGATCGATGACATGCATCAACCAAATCAGCGAGCCTGATCACCAGATCCCGTTAGTTGCCTCTTACGACAAGCATAGTCGCCTTTTACGGCAAGCATGGGTTGCTGAAGAACTATTCTACCCCGGATCTTCACGGGGACAAGCATGGGTTGCTGAAGACCTATTCTACCCCGGATCTTCACGGGGACAAGCATGGGTTGCTGAAGACCTATTCTACCCCGGATCTTCACGGGGACAAGCATGGGTTGCTGAAGACCTATTCTACCCCAGATCTTCACGGGTCCAAGCATGGGTTGCTGAAGACCTATTCTACCCCGGATCTTCACGGGGACAAGCATGGGTTGCTGAAGACCTATTCTACCCCAGATCTTCACGGGTCCTTGCCTACATGCTACAAACTGGTCAGAGAGACCTATATCAGTCTTATTGCATATTGTTGCCATCAAATACAGAAATGTGCTCTTGCATTTCATGCATACCCTAAATAGTAATATATTTCACGCACATTTCGTGATTTTTGCTGAATTGTTTTGTTAGTGATTTTATTCCCACTTCATTTACTCTTGTATGTTCAATGATAGGAGAAGTCTCTTCAGTGTGATCCTAAGGAACAAGACTCAGGCCAATTCGTAGTCCTAGCAAGTCATTCCAACCTACCACGTCAGTCTCCAACTGTTATGTATATATCAATCAAGCTATTAATAATCATATCATATTGCATCAAAATAATGTCTCAGAACAGCCTCAACCTATCAAATACTCCTGAACCTGAGGACATTCTAGACTTGCTTCATTTAGGGAATTTGCATGACAAAAAAGGGCTGGGCAGAAGGCAAAATAACATTGTTTTCAAGACCTTCCCAAAATTGTGTTCCTAATTTTTAAAATGTTTTCCTGAACATGGACAGGACCTGTTCCATGAAGAGATCGTCGCTCTAAAACAATCGTTACTGTTACCTAATTTTAAAAATGTTTTCCCTGAACAGTCATAGCGCTAAGATATATGCATGGAACGAGACCATGCATGGTTTCTATGTGTTCCTATGCCAGTCCTCTCCACAACCAGTCCAGAAAGGGTTACCAGACATGCTATTTATATCCCTAAAACATCCACAATCCTGGAAAAGCACTCAGGAGTAATTTTGATACACACCAGTGCTAACAGTTTACAGAAAGTAAAAGAAAACACAAGTGTTTCATCATGAGGGAGCATTTATTGCCTGGTCTTGCCAGGGAGTTATCATTGTTTGAGATTGAATTTCAGTATTTTTTAGAAGCACAACTGGCTGGAAAGGCAGCAAATTCCTATTTCCTGATAGTAATGAACCTGGTGTTGTCAGTGTTTCAAAACAAGACCAGTTGGTTGTTAGAATCAGCTGAGGCCAGTTGTACAGATGTTCAAACGACACATGTGTAGTGGTTAGCTTGAGATAACTTTTCTCATGTCGGCAAATGTTGAAATCATTATATACATTAACCCAAACACTGATGTTAAAGGCCAATACTATTGAAATACCAACTCAAATGCAATAATTGATTAACGATGTTTTTTTCTGATGATGCGGTTGTGAAAATATTTTAATTTGTACATAGGCTGAAAACATGAAAATGGACAATTCCAAATTAATATTTAAGTGTGTGAGTTGTGTTTTATGCTTTTTTTAGCTGCGGTCCAGCAATATTGAGAAACATAGCATCCATCAGAGGAATAAAACCCAGGCCTTCGGTGGAATAAGCAAACACTGTAACCACCTGGCTACCACACTGCCCTTAATAGACCATAGGGCCAGAGTTCTGCCTGCACCATGAATTACAAGGTACAGAGAGTCTGTGATGTGGAAAATACTTTCATCATAAAGTTATTGCTCAAACACGTTCCAATGGAAGACTGCTCCCTCTGATTTATTTTGCATATAAACAACAGTCTGGCTGTGTTAAAATATGACCAATGTCATGTGACCCATGTCATGTGACCAGTCATGTGACCACTTGACTAACCACATGACCACGACCTATCCCAGAATGCAACATACATATGCTGATGTCAACAAGGAAATATTTACCACCATTAACATTAAAAAAACAAAAACATGCATACAGTTTAAGTATTGTATAAGGATAAAAAAGAAAGAAATGTGAATTTCAACATAGTTTCAACATAGTGACAATGAGAAGGTTGCAGGACTTGTAAACATTTTATGGACAATGCTGCATACATTTAAATTAAAAAAAATAGTACGTAATTTTTGAGTTTCAGTATGTGATGCATTACAGAAAGCAAGTTTAAAAGTTACTCAATCTCATTTCAAACACATGAAAAGCATACATGGTACAGAGTGAGTGAGTAGATGTTGTTTTATGCCACACCACGTGTAACAATATGCAATATTCCAGCAATATCACAGGAGAGGACCCCAGATGGACTCAACGCAATTTACATTTGTGGGGGACCCGTGAAGATTCCGGGGTAGAATAGGTCTTCAGCAACCCATGCTTGCCCTAAAAGGCGACTATGCTTGTCGTAAAAGGCGACTAACGGGATCGGGTGGTCAGGCTCGCTGACTTGGTTGATGCATGTCCTATCCCTATTGCGTGGATCAATGCTCATGTTGTCAATCACTGGATTGTCTGGTCGAGACTCGATTATTTTACAGACCGCCGTCACATAGCTGGAATATTGCTGAGTGCGGCGTTAAACAACAAACCAACCAACAAACCAACATTTGTGGGGAATGAAATGCATGCGTGCATGCGTGCATGCGTGCGTGCGTGTGTGTATTCGTGTGTGTGTGTTATTTGGTTTAACACCGCACTCAGCAATATGATGGCAGCCTGTAAATCACCAAGTCTGGACCAGACAATCTAGTGATTGATATGATGAGCAATGATCTGCACTGAACCTGACCACCCGATCTATAAAGAGATTCAAGCAACCAGCAAAGGTTGCTAGGAATCCCAATGGGTTCCCAAGCAAGTTTTAGGACTAGCAGTGGGGATCTGGAGACACAGTCTACCCCAAGTCCCCATGGGGTATATATATCTATCCAGTAAAGGGGTAAGATACACGTTACAGATTCACCCTACCACAAAAACCGGTCAGTCTAGTCTCTGAAAATATATCATTTTGACAGAAACAAAGAACTGCTTTTAAATTGAAAAGGAGCCCCAGTGAGATGAGAGATTCAGAACCTGAACGTGAGGAAAATCTAGACTTGCTTCATTTAGGGCTTTTGCATTACAGAAGGGCTGGCAGAAGGGTATAAAGTATGGTTCAGGGCCTGAGACAGACTATGGTCAGAACCCAAGTCACAGTTTCCAGGGAATACACCGATGCCACGTGAGGTTTATGGTACACAGGAAAGCCACAAATATTCATTGTAGGTAAAAACATGTCGTCAGGATTATTACACATCTACACAGAAAGTAGTCCGTGACACACTGAAGTATCAGAACAGTATCAAAGATGAGCATAACATGCCATCTCCATAAAATAATGCTTAGCAATCTTAATCATGTTCACAACTTGCACAGGCTTTAAAAAAGTGTTTTTAGCAACCACACTGGGCGTGGACTTTAGATAAAGCATTCAAAATTCAAAATGGTTGTGATGAAAAAGAATGTACATGCATTGAAATATCAGACCCTTGATGCACACATCTGTACCATCTTGAAATATTTCAGTAAATCTGGTTGATCACTTACTCGTCCTGTGGGATGGGAAAATTATTATTTCTTTAATAAATGCATGAAAGAATTTGAAAAAAACATGGTTAAATGCTAAATAATTCCCACAGGCCATGTTTTTGCACCTCTAATTTTGTTTTGATAACTGCAAAATGTGCCAAATGCACTGAATGGCCGACTGTACACATTGAAGAAATGGCTGTTTTGAACAAATATTTTGATACCCTAAAAACATTAAATTTCAAAGTAAACACACAATCTGGCTCGTCACTTTCAAATTAAGATTCCCCAGGAATATTCATTCTGTATTACATAATTTATTGTTCCATGACAAACATTGAAAATACTGAGAATTGGAACACTGTTTCACACTGAAGATGAAAGATAACCCAATTGTTTTGGAATGTAATGACCTGGGAGGTGCCACAACAAACTGAGGTCAAACATCCAGGGGTAGATTTCACATACAGAAAAGTCCCCTTGTGCTTACAAAAATCAAAACCTAGTAAAGACAGATCCTACACAATGCTCTATGCATCTGCACAACGTAATTCGAGAGTGTCTGAATAGTCTTAAGTTTCGGAGTCTTCAGTTGAAATATACTCTAATTATTATCAGTTTTTTATCACATGAAACATGTAAAAGTACATTTAAATTTTTATAAGAAACAACAGCGATTCTCATATTCCTTAAGAGAAGGACAACCATTTTTTTAACCCCATATTGACAGAACTCTAGGATTCACTTACATCCACAACAAAACAGAAAAGAATCTTTCTCAACACAAGCTAATGAAACAGCCAAGTAGATATATATATTTCCACATGCCTCCCAGGGAGATAACACTTCGTATACACCACCATGCTGGAACATAGTTGAATGATAAATAGCATTATACCTCTCCTGTCCCATTGGGGGGGGCTCTAAATCACTTAGTGACTCACGCAAGTACAGAAATGTTTTCGTTTCTAAACACCCTCCAATAGATGCTTCATGACAGGGAGCAAACATGTGTATAATGTACATATGACTATAAAAACTGTGTCCTGGTTGATGAGTTTGATAGTGGCGCCAAGAGCACCT